AGCAAGGTGGGAAGTAGAAACTTTTGAGTCCGCCTCAAGCCACCTGAAAGCATCCCTGTTTCCTACCAGGATCACTTAGAACCCAGGCTTTTCTTCCATCTGGGGGGCTTGCTTCCCTGCAGAGTCTTTGGTGGGGCGGGGGGGGGGGTTCTCACCGTGGCTCTGGGTCATTTGTTTACATGCAGAATCTTTCAGATCAGAGAAATAAGTACACTTGACTACTTCTCCTTCTGTGTGTCTGTTTTAAGAGAAAAATCCCTCACAAAATCAAGCAAACTAACAGCCAAAAGGAAATGGGTTTTGATGGGTAAAGATTAAAATACTTTTGATTTTTAAGCATAGGGCAAAAATCTACCATTTGATTTTTTTTCCCCTAAAACACACTTTTTTCTGATTATAAAAATAATACATGTTCATTGTAAAAATTCAGGAAATAGGGAAAAGCTTTAAAATCACCCATAAACCCACAATCCAAGTTAACCTTGAATCACATCTTTTATGTCCTTCAGACTTTCTCTGCAAGTATACATATTCGGGTCTCTGTATCTGTAATGAAGCTGAACAAATGTGAGTTTTTAAACTGCTGTTTATCACCCGAGTTATCCAGCCATTAACATTTAAGATGCACTCTATCAGGGGCTCCGAGGGTCTCTGAGATTTTGAGATAACATGAATGTTGTCTTGTTATTAAAAGTATTTCGGGGCGCCTGGGTGGCTCAGTCCGTTAAGCGTTCGACTCTTGTTTTCAGCTCAGGTCATGATCTCAGGGTCGTTGGATTGAGCCCCTCACTGGGCTCCGTGCTGGCCATGAAGTCTGCTTAAGATTCTCTCTCTTCCCCCGCCTCTCCCCTTATACAAAAAAAAAAAATTCATGAAGAGACTTCTTGTTTTGATGACAACAGCACGGTGGTTAAGTGTGCAAGTCACAGGGTCAGATTTTCAGGGCTAAACCCCCAGCTCTTCTGTCACTGGTTCGTGACCCTGGGGGTGCTAATGGTACCTGTGTTGTGGGGTTGTTGTTGAAGTAAATGAGTTAATACCTGTCGAGGGCCAAAAACAGTACCTAACCTACCCTAAGTGCCACGTGAGTGGGGGTAGTAGAATTATTACAGCTGCACGGCCAGTCCGAAAGTCTTGGATTTAAGACTTGTTTTACCTTTAAATCCCTTCACCACCCGTGTAAGTTACATGTTGTTTTAATATATTTGGTAGGCTTCATTAATGTTGGCCACCACCATCCTCACCATCTCTTCAAACAGCACCTGCAGGAAGTCTTCTGAACGTCGGAAAGGGGGTGATGGGTGCATTCCGAGTCCCGGGGAGGGGGCAGGTTTATTGTCCAGTGACTGTCTTGGATAACTGGAAAGCTGTTTGGGGAGAAATCGGTAAACCAGAAGAAACTCTCGATGGAATTAAGGCAGTAGCAGACTAAAAGGTAGTATGCTTGAGCATTTTTCAATGTGAAGATGAGGAAGACTTTTCTAAGCCTGACCCTAAAGCAATAAAACGGAAAAGAAAGCATCAATTGGCTTGACAGTACGTAAATAAAGGAAGATAAAGTGAAACACTCTGTCCTGCAAAAGGACACCACTAACACAAGCCGGAGCTGGGGTGGCCCTCTGTGAGTCTGTCCATAGAAGCTGGGAGGAGGTCCTGAGGCCCCTCCTCTGCAGCGGTCACCCTAGCGGGCATCTTGATTTCCTAATTAGGCTGTGATTTCACCTTATTGGCAGTGAAAGTGGCATCTGCCCATCCTGCAGGGTAATCCAGCCTGGTGACCAAGGGGGCTCATTCAGCCTTCACTACAAGGGAACTCCCTGTGGTTAGATAAACTGATCTGTTGCTTAGTGACTGCGGGATTACTCGGGTGCACCGGGAAGTGCATCCGAGAGGGGTTTGAGTATTTGGAGGGTAAGGAGGGCAAGAAAGTTGGCGAGTCCCTGGGAGGACTGCAGCTTTGGCAGGAGGAGGAAGCGAGAGCCCACATGTGCCCGGCGCGGGCCTGGGTTGAGAACATTCCACCTTCCCATCCGTACTTGGCCTTCTCGGCCCTGGGTCTCAGAACAAAGGAACAGCAGACAGCGAGCTGGCCGAGGGGCAAGATGGGTCCTGCTGCTCCAACAGCAGGGGAGGCTCCTGCAGGGTGACCCTGAGGTCCATGTCCTGAGGAAGGGGTCTGGGTCTGAAAGTTCAAACCCCGCTTGCTCTCGGGACCACCAAGAGCCTTGGAGTTTGGGTTTGGGTCCCAGGTTCAAAGCACATAGGCTAGAATGAGATCATAAAATAGCTAGGACTTTTGAGATCACAAGCTCCAGGCTTAAGCAGGACCACCTCCAAGACGCACTTTCAACAGTGTCCTCTACCACAGTGTGGACTTGAAACTCCTTCGCAAACGTGCCCCCTTGGTGGCACCCTGTACCCAGCAGACAGGGCCTTCTGCCGCCAGGAACACCCAGCTGTGTGTGTCTGCGAAGGGACAGAGAGTGTATGCGTGCATCTGCCTGCCTGTGTGGCACCTCTGGTGGCACGGTCTCTGCCGCCCCAGCTGCAGGACCACCGGGAGGGGGGCACAGGCACAGCGCCGGGTGCCCTTGGCTGGGAGCGTGCCGCTTCTGCAGTCGGCGCTTGCCCTGTGGGCAGTGAGGGGTCAGTAGCCCCAGTCGGATTCTGGTTATTTATTGTGCGTTAGCAGGAGCAGGAGCAGCCTCTGAGGCAGTAGAGCCTATGCTGGGAAGGGTATTTTGACTGAAATTTTGCATATTTGAAACTCAGATTGTTAACGTTTAAAATTATACACATTGTGAGTACCTGGCTTCAGAAGAGGAAGCAGCAGCATTTCTTCCTGTCAGAACCTTTTCACTCCGTCTGTCATGTAACCCAACTAAAAATAAACTACAAGCACCAGAACTGGCAGCCTTCAGTTTGGAACAAGCTCTCAACTGCAGGCCTGGCTCCCGCCACTTCCCAGCCCCACTCCAGCCCCCCAGGTGCGGCCCTCCGCCAGGGATAGCAGGCCACCCTGTGGCAGGACCCACGGAGTTAGAATGTGTGCCCTGTAGGAGAGGGGGGTGCAACCACAAATGCCCTGGCCTGCCTCCTGTGTGGCCTTGGGGGAGTTGCCTGGCACCTCTGGACCTCAGTTTCCTTGTTTTTAACTGACTGGCCAAACTCCACATGGCAGGGAGCGACCTGTGTGTCTTCTTTAACCCTTACAACACCTATGAGCTTTGTTCTAAGTGTCCTCCCATTGTTCAGTTGAGGAAGCTGAAGCCCAGAGAGCCTTGTTCCACGTCATTCAGCTACTGAACGAGGTTCCAGGCCAGGCACCTCCGTCATCCCCGCCTCTCCTCTTCCTCCTTGGCCATCCAGATTCTGCCCCTGTCCCCCTGGTGTGACCCCAGGACTCCCCCATGTCAAATGGTGGTTATTTGTCTCCCTTGATCCTGCTGGGCCTTCCTGATTGTTCGCCCCGGGACCAGCAGCCTGGTGGGAAGCGCGTAGGCTTGAGTCCCTCTGACATGTGTTTGCGTCTCTGCTTCTGCACCTGTGAGCTAGATGATCCTGGGCAAGAATAGGTTCCTTGTATGTGACAGGAGGGTGCTGTCACACCACCCTCATCCTGTGGAGATTATGTGAGATCATGAACCCAGGAAGCACTGTGCTCTGTACCCCTCACTCACTGACGCGGCCATGCTCTGCTGATAGACTCCAGCCCTTAAATACTGGCTCCTTGTTATCCTCAAGTCTTCGTTTTTCCCAACAAAGGGTGACTCTGTTTCCCCCCGTGTGTCATGGTAGAAAGCCAGGCTCTGCCGGTGCTGCGGGCTCGGCCGCCCCGCGCCTGCACCCTGCCCCGTGCACTGTGCCTGTAATTAGGCGTGGTTGCCTTAGCCTAGGTGCAACGTCATCACACAATTCGACAGCCTTTCATCATCTGTTTATTAGCACATTAGTTCTGTTGCTAATTCTTGAGTTTTAAAGGAGTTCCGTTATGTTTATTTTGACCACAGCTTTAGTCGAGCTCTGATTATTACAAAGGAAATGTTGTAACTGTAAGTCACAGAGGGTGACATGTGCCTTCTGTAAGAACCCCCAGACACCATGTTACCCTAAGACCCTGCCATCGGGGGGTTGAGGGAATAGCCCACGTAACACTATGGGTTTCTGTTGTTGTTGTTGTTGTTTTGGCTAAAATCCTGTCTTAGGGAACATTTACTCTTCATTTTCATAATCATTCTTCCTGTGTACAATTGAACTTCTACAAATTTCTCCCTCCGATCTTCTGATCAAATGGTAAGGCTGCTGTCTCTTGAAAACAAGTTACTAGTATTCAACGTCTGAGATTGATTTTCAGCCTTTGGCACTTACGTTCCAAGTGGGTTGGGCAGGGAGACCCCCTTGAGCCGCACCCACGTCTGTGGTCCGCAGAGAGCCGCCGTGAGGACACTGACCACGCTGCCCCAGCAGACCCTGGCCTTGGGGTTTTCGAGGTCAGCAGTACTTACTGGAGTCTCCTCGGCCAGTGAAGAGCTGAATGTGACTGACACCCCGGCCTTCCCTGTTTGGCCCCGTCGGGAGGAGGCCGGTCACTTTGAACTGCGCGGGCCACACTTGCAGGGAGCCGCTCACGGCGAGCATTGTTGAGTTTTAAGGCGGGTTTTTTCCTCATCCTTTGGCAAACTGCTGTATCACACACTTCATTTGCCATCAGAGTGTGAGTGTGTATCGTTCTTTTTTTTCCATGAAAACAACGTAGAACAAAGCCTCACTTTTAAAAATGCCATGATATTTTGCCACCGTTATGAAAATCTGTCAGTGCCGTATCTAATCTTCTGGTGCATAGAATATCAAAACAAGCACTATTGAAGGGATTGTACTTCTGTTAGTACAAAAATGTCAGTTCCACAGTCTCGGAAACAGCTGCTCTCAGCCTCTTTCCAAATGGGAAAGAAAAAAAATAATAAAGTTTCTTTTCCCCCTCTGCTGTTACTGTTCTTCAGGCCTGACCTTCATCAGGAGACCCAGAGTAAACACCGCCTTGCTGAAATCTTGCATTCCGAATTCTCAAGTGGAGCGGAGGCCAGCGTCGCCAAGGTCAAAAAGCAAAACAAACACGCAAGAGCCCGGCAGCCAGCCACGCAGCACTGTCTGCAACCGGCGCCCAGCCTCAGCCGTGGGAAGAACTGAGAAACGCTCCCCAATGAAGCAGAAAAACCCAAAAAGACTTACTGGGGGATAACAGGACTTCCCAACACAGTTTTCGGTTTTTTGTTGTTGTTGTTGTTGTTTTTTAACGCTGCCTCCACAGGCCTGGGGCTTGGGGTGGATCCTGGAGGCCCCAGAGGCGGGGGCTGGTGTCCTGTCCTTGTCAGGAGCCCTGTGGGAAGGCACGGTGCCACTTTTCCCTGCAGACGGTGTCCCTGACCCGGAGAAGCCACAGGCCTCCCCCGGCAGGGCGGGGCTCAGCGTCCTGTGGGCGAGCCAGTTAGTTCTCACCTTCTGTGAGATGGCTTATACTTTGTGTTTCCTCCAGCGGAATCATCTTGGCCCAAGGGTTACAGGTGCCCCGGGGCCTCTCGTGAGGGCCTGGTGGTGCCGGCATCAGCAGGGAGGCCTCTTCATGCCTCGGGACAGGGTTCTGTCTCCAGGTCTTCATTAGCTGCCTTGTATTGATGCCCGGATTAGCGTGCATCTTGCAAAATAGGATTGTAACGACTGGAATGCAGTTTGTGAGAGCGAGAAAAACCATGAGCTCGTTTTCTTGATGTACCAGTGCTTTGTGGAAAAGGGCCTGACAGGCTTGGGTGCGGGTTGGAAGGCTCCCGGGCCCTCCCGCAGGCTGCTGCGAACCGAGGGTGGCATTCACGCGCGTGGCTGCCTCGTTCGTGGCCACGGGAAACTTCCTTCACGGCTGATGGATGTACTGGTGCCTTTTTTATTTTTGTTTACCATTGCCTTGGAAGTCAAAGGGCACCAGTCTCCTGAGTGTTTTCTCCCCCCGAATCCCACCTTGTCTTCAAGTCTGGGGTCTGGGGTTCTTTGTAGTGTGGCCCAGGCCTCAGCCGCCCCTCCCCCACTGTGTTTCCCTGGGCAGTTTGAGAGCCCCCCCCCACACACACACACACAACTCCCCACCCCCGCCCCCGGCGTACTGATTTCCCAGTAAGTGTCCAACTGGGACGCAGGGGACTCCAGAGGGGAGTCTGCTTGGACAGGCGCTCTGTTGGCTCCACTTTCTCCTGTTTTCTTTCCCGCCTTCCTCCCCCTCCAGTTCCTGCAGAGGGAGCTGAGGCCCCACTTCAGTAAATCCTCCAGATCCCATAGGAACTAAGTGGCCAGGAGCGGACTGTGAGAGTTGCAAGGTGGGCCATCTGTGGGGCCCACGGAGGGGTCGGCGCCCTCACCTCTGTCCCTCTCTGGTGGCCAGGGTAGGGCAGTCAGCTGACACCCACACCAGAGGCCCCCGGGGAGAGGGCCAGCAGGAGCCCTGTGAGCACTAATCCTCCACAGGGGGACAATGTGACCTCCTCCGTACGGCTGTCACATACAAATTCATAGGGACAGTTGGTGAAATTTCTAACAATAATAATAATGATAATAATAAAGCCCTACAGCACATGTCAAGCTGACTTGAGGAAATCTGCCACCGTTCTTTTACTTCAGTGTGTAATGGTTCACAGGATTTGGATGAGAAAAGGAGGCATCAAACTTTAGAGACAAAACCCAGCTGTGTGAAAAACAGGATTAATGCCAGTGATGGGGAAGGATCAAAGAGAAGCCCTGCTCCCTGCCCCCCACCTCCCATGTACTCATTCCAAGAGAGGTCCAGTCCGGGTTCTGCATTCCTGGGGGAGCCATGCTGGGACCTGCCCTGCAGAGTGTATAAAGGACCATTATTCCAAGGTGGAGCTTGTGCTTAATCTGCTAACGCTTAGGTGAGGAAACGTTTCCTGCCATGGATGCTTTGTGGGCCTGTTTCTAAGCAGAATCAATATATTACCCCCAGTTAATAAAGAAACATGGATTTAACAGATTTAGGGTTAATATTATCTAAATTTAAATAACCTTAAAATAAATCTCTTTCTCCTATTATGGCTCCTGAAAGATTATACATTTCAGGCATCAGTTAGGCAAAGCTTTAGCCTAATTCCACTGTACATATTCTAATTTTGTGTGTATTTTTAATCGTGCCTCTTTTTCTGATTTCCCAAACTTACCTATTTCTCTGTCGCAAGCCTGATCCCCGTATTTTAAGTCACAGAGAATTTGGACATTTCATGGAGTGTTGCAGCCTAAAGCATTTTCCCCTTGGCTTCTCGAATGCTTGTTTTGCATCCAAAACATCTTCGTGTTTGCAGCTCTTAGTGGTTGCATTTCTTCAGAGGGGCCCACGTTCCCACGCACCAAAGGGCAGAGAGCCCTTGGCGAGTGATTAAGTCAGTGCTGGTGCACACAGCATCTTCCACTCTTGGAGAAGCACAGAGCCAACCAGGTCTCTCTCAGCAAAGGACATTTTGACAAAGCCCAGTGGATTCCTTTGATTTTTTTTTTTTTTTTTTCCTTTCCTGTAGTGAAGGGAGGTGAGATTTAGGGAAGAGGGGAGTAAATGAGAGCCCTTTAAGGCAGGTGCATCCCAAACTGCTAGCGACCTTGCTAGTTAGCACTGCGGCCCTCAACATGGAGTCAGGGAGAGCCATTCGAATCCAAGCATCGCTTCCATGACACGGAAATGTAAAGCTTTTTCTACTGGAGAAGTGGCCCTGCTTGGAAAAGGCGCTTCACGGGTCTTGTTAAATTGCCTACGTGACTATCCCACCTCATGTCTTAATCTGCTCCCACCATGAGGAGAACTCCTAAGCAAGGCCTCCCTGTGTGGGGGCAGTGGGGCACCCTTAGAGTCAGTTAGGCTCCTCAGAAATTTCCAGAGCCCTTGTACAAGGCTCACAGGGGAATCTAAACTTCCTTTAAACTTTGCTGCCCCGACCGTGCTGCCCCTGGGTTTGTAAGGGACTGGGGTGGGCGGGTGGAGGAGCAGAGAGGATGCCTCCTGGGAGCCTCTGCTATTGTTCTGCCCGCTGGGGGGCTTGCATTCATTCTTTCTTTGTATTTTAAAAAGAGTTCACACCCAGCCCCAGGGTTGGGAACAGAGAAGCTAATTGAGCCTTCTAAATGGCTGAGAGCAGAAGCCCACCTCACGGCAAAGGTTGTAAAGTTATTACAGATGGGAATTGCAGGACAATTTAAAATATTGTAATTATAAACTTGTAGGGAAGCCTTGTTCTTCATTAATGTAAGCTATGAAATCGCCTCTGAGGTACAAGGACAATTACATAGTTGAGAATGTGTCTGCGATTTACACTGCCGCTGTGTAAATGTAAGGGCGGTTGCTCTGGTCTACCTCCTTCACTTTCACAAAATGAAAAGCACACCAGTGCAAGTTGTCCTTTGATAGATTTTTAATATGATTTTAAAGAGTTTTGTTTGGTCTCATTCTTATTCAATGAGATTAATTTAAAGCACTTATCCCCTGGGCTTAAGTCAATCCATGTAGGATTTCGGCTGGGTTTGTTGCATGGGGGGTTTTGTTTGCAGGAGGCTATGAGAGACTCCTTTCCCACTTCATTAACCCTGAGTTGGGGACAGTCTCCCCTCGCCCCCCACCACAGCCAGAGCTGGGGATTTACCAACCCCCATTCACATGCAAAAGAACTTGAAAGCCGAGAGGCTCCTTGACTTAATTAGCTGCTGTGCATTTTGCAAAATTAGAATAATACCCTCACCATCCCAGGAAAGAAAAGCAGTTGGGGGGGGGGGCAGGAAACTGTAGCAGGGTCTGTTTGGTGGGGTAGTTTAAATATGCCCTCCACCCCTCCCCCCAGGAGGCAGCCCTCTCCCACTGCAATCCTGCCACAAAACTGGAGGGGGTTCAGCTTGTGGGGCCCCAAAACTTCCCAGCCCTGGGCCTGTCTTCTGCCCTGAGAGTCCAAGCTGCAGGTGGTGTGTAGGAGGGGAGCACCTGCGCCCACCTCCCCTGAGGGACCGGCCTCAGGAGGAGACCTTGGCCCTTTGAACATGAACTGGAGGCCTCCAGTCTGGCTGGAGCCTTAAACCCCCCTCCCCTGAGATCCTGGAGCTGCAGGCTGGGGCATGGGGCCTGCGCGGGGATTTGGCTCCCTTCTGGGTCTCATCTACGTACTCCCGGGGTAAAGGGGGGAAGTGAGAAGATGTGGGATTGGGGGGTTACCGATGTGGTGTCAGGCTCCCAGCGAAGGCTCGTCGGGATCCTGGCGGCACGGGGCCGGAGCCGCCTTAGGGCCCGGGAGCGTCCGGGAGTCCGAGCGCGGCCGGGGCGCGGGGCTGAGGGGGCTGGCGGGGGGAGTAGCCTCGGAGCCCATCTGTCGGCCCCGCGCCCAGCGGGCCGGTCACCAGCTGCCGGCGCCCTTGTTGCGGCCAGATGAGCCGGCTCAGCGAGGGCACCACAGCCCGGCCCGCAGCGGAGCGAGCCCAGGCGCTGACCCCCGCTCCGGCCCCTGGGACCGGCTGGGAGCAGCAAGGAACCAGATGGAGAAGGGGGGGGCGGGTTGGGGAGAGCAGCGAGCTCGCCTCACTGTAGAGACAGGAAGACTGAGGCCGGGGAGGGGAGGCCCCTGCCCGTGGACCCCAGCGAGTCCAATCGGGGCCCCCGCCCCCGACCACAGCGCCAAGGAAGAGAGGTGGACAAAAATACTTCCTTATTGAGGATGGAAGGAGGCCGAGTCCCAGGAGGGGAAAATGGATCTTAAGGAGGGGTGGGAAAGAAGGGCTGAGCGCGGACAGGCGCGAGGTCATTTGTAAGAAGTTTATTTCGACATTTAAAAAAGAGAACCCGAGGGCCTGGCTGCCCCCGGACGGAGGCTGGAGGTGGCGGCTGGGGGTCGGGGTGGTGGGCAAGCCCCCTTGACCCCTTCCTGCCTCGCCTGGGAGGGAAGAGGGCACAGGCCACAGACTCATTGATTCACGGACACGGTCACGGGCTCATGGGTCACAAATAAATAACTTCATATACACTTTGCACACCTTATGTACAGCTCTGCCGCCGCCCGGGCGCTCGGAGGAGGGCTGCACACTCCCCACCGCCTGTCGGGGTGCGGGGAGAGGGCTGGGTGTACAGCTGGAGCATGGAGAGGGGGAGCGGGAACGAGTGCAGCGTCGGGGTCGCCCCCCACCTGCTCCCAAGGAGGTGCAGGGGGGCGCTTCGGGAGCTGGCGAGGGGTCGGGGTGGGGCCTGTATGTACATCCTGCGGGTGGAAGTGGCTCCCTGATGGCGTGGCCGGGACGGAGCCCGCCGAGGGGGGTTAGGGAGACTCAGTCCGGGTCCGAGCCTCAGTAAACTTGGCATAGGGCCCTTCGGGGGACGCTGGCTGGGACTCCAGGGAGGGCCGGCCAGGGGGCCCCGGGGAAGGGGCGTTGAAACCCCGCGCCCCCCGAAGGGCAGGCGGAAGGGGCCCACGCAGAGCCCCGGGGAGGCGGGCGGGCGCTTCACCGAGGCTGCGCGGCGCGCGGGAGGACGCCGGCCAGCGGGGGCAGCGGCGGGGGCGGCTCGCTGGCGCCCTGGAGTCCGTGGATGAGGATGCGGGGCACCAGAGGTCTCTGCAGGGCCGGCGGCGGCGCGCTAGGCCCGCGGTACAGATACAGTGCGGCGCCGGGATCCAGGTTGGAAACTAGACTCTGCGGGTAGAAATAAGGCGACGGGAACATCCGCTGGAGCGCTGAGTAAT